TTGTGCCCAGACGGCGACGCGTCGATAAATGTGCAGTGTACCTGTTCGTACCCATACACGCATGCTCATAAAAGGCCGTTTCTTAATTTATCTGCGATGTTGTCGCAGCAAAGTCAAGTGAAATAACGCTGACCACTGCAAAATTTTCGACGCGTTGCCGTCTGGGCACAATTGCGCCCAGAGATTACTATTTAATCACATTTTACAATATTATCACAAATCTACTAACGTTTATTTTAGTTCTTAATGGTTTTCTTTCTCAGAACTTTTCACTTTAATTTATTATATTTTTCATTTTTTTTTTTACAGGTTTTCCCAAATCTGTTATCTATTTTACATTGGCCAATATTTCAGTTTTATTTTTTTAAGCCATTTAATATGAAACTTGAATTTTGAAAAACAATTCTTAGTTCTTGGACAATACTAAAAAAAAATATATATATATATATATATATCTTTACAATCTGCACACTTTGGCTTATAGTTATATAAATAAAATATACTTATTTATATATATATTTATTATACTTATATATACATATTATTAAAATCAGTTATAAGTGTAGATCATCTCACCCTAACCTGGTTGTTCCAAGCTTTGCGATAACCATCTCGCTCCGACCAAACATAGACGACTCTGAATGCCAATGGCACAGTGCCCGGCTCGTGCTCTGGGCACATTCTCCTCGATGGTGCAGGGTGACATTCTCCCACGTCATCATATCTACACAAAAAGCTTATTATAATATACAATGTATATATATAAATATACAGTATAGTAAATACCCAAATCAAGTACGGCGAGCGTATTTGAGCATTTCCATTCACGTTCTGTTGTCGCCTTCGAGTCATTTATCACCAGTGGTAAACATACATTTTAATTGCAATCATTGTCGAACCGTGCAAGGATCGTGAAAGTGGGGCTTGTCCTCGAGTTCTTGGTTTCTCCCACGGCATGGAATCTGTAAAAAAAAAAACCAAATGGAAAACAATTATAATAATTAATATATATATAATTCGTAATACAGAAATACCCGTATTCGTAATACAATCACTCATTCCGGAGTAGACGAGTAGGCTCAATTTGCCCGGATCTTTGCTCGTAAACGAAATACCCGTGTGCGATTCCCGGGGAGGCGGATTTTGCCATTGTGACTGTGCACGCCTCGCGTATCCAATATATACAAATCATTCAGATATCTAAAAGTAATTTAAATTTTAAAAATGAACACTATTAATATCGAATATTTAATTGAGAAATTGCTTACTCTCATTTTATATATATTTTTGCTTTAAATTCTAGTTTTTGACTTCTCAAAAGTGTTAGTAAAAATTTCATTCATTTAAATTTAAAAATATTAAATTTGATTTTGAATTAAATATATTTTTTATTTGCGATTTTGCTATGTCGAAAATTAAAGTTAACCAACGTAATTATGAAATTTTTTTTTTTTTGTGATTTAAGATTTTTCTCTTTCGACTGAGGGATAGTCGAAATTAAGAATTTTAAAAATATTGAATATGAAAATGTATTTTTAATTTAATAAGCTTTATATTTTAATCGAAACGAACTACTAATAAATATATTTTTAGCACCAATTGAATATTGTTTTTGGTATTAAACAAACCACTAATAATATTAACATTTATTGCTACATACTAATAAATATAATTATTATTATTGCAAAGAAACCAAAGTAGAAAAAATTAATAATTGACACCTACTTGGGAATATTATTTTTTGGGATCATCCGATTCATTGCCCAGTCCGCCAAACAGGAATATTTTCTCGCCGACCATCGTGAAGCTGTGCCCCAACCGGGGGCAGGGTGTGACACCGTTATCCGGTGTCTCAGGGTACATTTTGCGCCATCCCCATTTGATTGCTTGCAACTCGTAAAGTTCATTTGGATATTTGCCATATTCAATCATGCCGCTAAAGACAAACATGCGGGTGCCTTCCACAACAAATCCATAAGCGGCACAACCATTTGGCACATCGCCCTTCAGCACGGGCACATACCATTGATTGGTGACTAAATTAATAATTGGAAATTGACAATTAGCAATTGAAATTATCAATTGTAGTGTGACTATAGTGCAGCTCCATGAACATCGACACCAAATTGTGCAGGGACAGTGCAGCTTCATAGCATAGCACGAAACACACTACAACGATATTCTCAACTACCGTTAGTGGCAAAGTATATCATGTCCCCTGCTTTGCATGACATACAATCAACGCACTCAAAATAAAAAAAAAAAACTCATTTAAAATCACATATCTAAATAAATACCTGTATTATAAACATGAAATTCATCGGCAATTCCCTCGTTGCCGCCAACAAAAACGACCATTAATTCCTTGATATTTATGGCACGATGACCGTGGCGGGGACGCGGCTGCGGCCGCGTTGGATTTAAAATGCGTTTCCAACGAAAACCAAGTTGATTATTGGCCAACATATTATTATTAGGATTATCAATTTGGTAGGTGGCATCCATTTCCATTTTCAATTCAGCAGATTATTCGTTTTTAATATATTTGTTTACAATTCAAGTTCATCTTTTTGCTTGCCAAAACTGTAAAAAAAAAATTAGTCAAGTTAAAATTAAAAATTTAAATGAATACGAATAAACTATTATTGAGCACTGTGATTGCTGCGTTGATGCTAACAATTTATGTTGACCTAGCAATGTCGTCAAATGGACGCCGACGCTCATCAAAAATCGGTATCAAAATTTTGGTGCCATTTTATCACACAATTTTTTAAAATGCGAATTATTGTTGTTTTTCCTTCTCGCTTACCAAATTATCAATTGCACTTTATTGAAATTGAAATGTAAGTCAGTAATAAATGGAAATGCGACACACTCCAAAATTCGTGCACACATACAATGCGCAAAAAAAAAGCCGAATAAAACGACAACGACATGCCGCCAAAGACAAACATGCGGGTGCCTTCCACAACAAATCCATAAGCGGCACAACCATTTGGCACATCGCGCTTCAACACGGGCACATACCATTGATTGGTGACTAAATTAATTATTGGAAATTGACAATTAGCAATTGAAATTATCAATTGTAGCGTGCTGACTCAGATTGGCAGTCGTGACTAGATATGCCGTGTTTTTAATTATCGATTGTAGTGTGACGATAGTGCAGGGAGCCGAACTGGATCATCGATCTATATATCGATAAGCGCAACTCATTTTGGCTAGCGAGGGAAGAACAATATTTTTTGTTTAAATATAAATCTATTATAAAATAAAAATATAGCTGGAATGGATAATATGCACATTTAAAACCAAACTTTAATTAAGCATTAATAATTAATAGCAAAAGAATATTTTTTTGATTATATATTAATTGTTATAATAAAATAAAATATTCAATAAAAATATAACTTAAATAAATTGTTTATATAAAGATATCAACGATAAAACAATAAGTTAACCAATAACTAATTATTTTTATTCATTTAATTTGCCTATCGATGTTTTCATGAAAAAATAAAAATATAACTTGAATGAACTAATTTCTAATACATTTTAAGTATATATCGATACACTTAATAAAAATAAACTACAATTTTTATTGATCATTTAATTAATTTTAAATAATATCGCTAAGCAGTTGTGCCCAGACGGCGACGCGTCGATAAATGTGCAGTGTACCTGTTCGTACCCATACACGCATGCTCATAAAAGGCCGTTTCTTAATTTATCTGCGATGTTGTCGCAGCAAAGTCAAGTGAAATAACGCTGACCACTGCAAAATTTTCGACGCGTTGCCGTCTGGGCACAATTGCGCCCAGAGATTACTATTTAATCACATTTTACAATATTATCACAAATCTACTAACGTTTACTTTAGTTCTTAATGGTTTTCTTTCTCAGAACTTTTCACTTTAATTTATTATATTTTTCATTTTTTTTTTTACAGGTTTTCCCAAATCTGTTATCTAATTTACATTGGCCAATATTTCAGTTTTATTTTTTTAAGCCATTTAATATGAAACTTGAATTTTGAAAAACAATTCTTAGTTCTTGGACAATACTAAAAAAAATATATATATATATATATATCTTTACAATCTGCACACTTTGGCTTGTAGTTATATAAATAAAATATACTTATTTATATATATATTTATTATACTTATATATACATATTATTAAAATCAGTTATAAGTGTAGATCATCTCACCCTAACCTGGTTGTTCCAAGCTTTGCGATAACCATCTCGCTCCGACCAAACATAGACGACTCTGAATGCCAATGGCACAGTGCCCGGCTCGTGCTCTGGGCACATTCTCCTCGATGGTGCAGGGTGACATTCTCCCACGTCATCATATCTACACAAAAAGCTTATTATAATATACAATGTATATATATATATATACAGTATAGTAAATACCCAAATCAAGTACGGCGAGCGTATTTGAGCATTTCCATTCACGTTCTGTTGTCGCCTTCGAGTCATTTATCACCAGTGGTAAACATACATTTTAATTGCAATCATTGTCGAACCGTGCAAGGATCGTGAAAGTGGGGCTTGTCCTCGAGTTCTTGGTTTCTCCCACGGCATGGAATCTGTAAAAAAAAAAACCAAATGGAAAACAATTATAATAATTAATATATATATAATTCGTAATACAGAAATACCCGTATTCGTAATACAATCACTCATTCCGGAGTAGACGAGTAGGCTCAATTTGCCCGGATCTTTGCTCGTAAACGAAATACCCGTGTGCGATTCCCGGGGAGGCGGATTTTGCCATTGTGACTGTGCACGCCTCGCGTATCCAATATATACAAATCATTCAGATATCTAAAAGTAATTTAAATTTTAAAAATGAACACTATTAATATCGAATATTTAATTGAGAAATTGCTTACTCTCATTTTATATATATTTTTGCTTTAAATTCTAGTTTTTGACTTCTCAAAAGTGTTAGTAAAAATTTCATTCATTTAAATTTAAAAATATTAAATTTGATTTTGAATTAAATATATTTTTTATTTGCGATTTTGCTATGTCGAAAATTAAAGTTAACCAACGTAATTATGAAATTTTTTTTTTTTTTGTATTTAAGATTTTTCTCTTTCGACTGAGGGATAGTCGAAATTAAGAATTTTAAAAATATTGAATATGAAAATGTATTTTTAATTTAATAAGCTTTATATTTTAATCGAAACGAACTACTAATAAATATATTTTTAGCACCAATTGAATATTGTTTTTGGTATTAAACAAACCACTAATAATATTAACATTTATTGCTACATACTAATAAATATAATTATTATTATTGCAAAGAAACCAAAGTAGAAAAAGGCAACTTATTTACAACTACTAATATTAATTAATAATTGACTTCTACTTGGGAATATTATTTTTTGGGATCATCCGATTCATTGCCCAGTCCGCCAAACAGGAATATTTTCTCGCCGACCATCGTGAAGCTGTGCCCCAACCGGGGGCAGGGTGTGACACCGTTATCCGGTGTCTCAGGGTACATTTTGCGCCATCCCCATTTGATTGCTTGCAACTCGTAAAGTTCATTTGGATATTTGCCATATTCAATCATGCCGCTAAAGACAAACATGCGGGTGCCTTCCACAACAAATCCATAAGCGGCACAACCATTTGGCACATCGCCCTTCAGCACGGGCACATACCATTGATTGGTGACTAAATTAATAATTGGAAATTGACAATTAGCAATTGAAATTATCAATTGTAGTGTGACTATAGTGCAGCTCCATGAACATCGACACCAAATTGTGCAGGGACAGTGCAGCTTCATAGCATAGCACGAAACACACTACAACGATATTCTCAACTACCGTTAGTGGCAAAGTATATCATGTCCCCTGCTTTGCATGACATACAATCAACGCACTCAAAATAAAAATAAAAAAACATTTAAAATCACATATCTAAATAAATACCTGTATTATAAACATGAAATTCATCGGCAATTCCCTCGTTGCCGCCAACAAAAACGACCATTAATTCCTTGATATTTATGGCACGATGACCGTGGCGGGGACGCGGCTGCGGCCGCGTTGGATTTAAAATGCGTTTCCAACGAAAACCAAGTTGATTATTGGCCAACATATTATTATTAGGATTATCAATTTGGTAGGTGGCATCCATTTCCATTTTCAATTCAGCAGATTATTCGTTTTTAATATATTTGTTTACAATTCAAGTTCATCTTTTTGCTTGCCAAAACTGTAAAAAAAAAATTAGTCAAGTTAAAATTAAAAATTTAAATGAATACGAATAAACTATTATTGAGCACTGTGATTGCTGCGTTGATGCTAACAATTTATGTTGACCTAGCAATGTCGTCAAATGGACGCCGACGCTCATCAAAATTTTGGTGCCATTTTATCACACAATTTTTTAAAATGCGAATTATTGTTGTTTTTCCTTCTCGCTTACCAAATTATCAATTGCACTTTATTGAAATTGAAATGTAAGTCAGTAATAAATGGAAATGCGACACACTCCAAAATTCGTGCACACATACAATGCGCAAAAAAAAAGCCGAAGAAAACGACAACGACATGCCGCCAAAGACAAAAATGCGGGTGCCTTCCACAACAAATCCATAAGCGGCACAACCATTTGGCACATCGCGCTTCAACACGGGCACATACCATTGATTGGTGACTAAATTAATTATTGGAAATTGACAATTAGCAATTGAAATTATCAATTGTAGCGTGCTGACTCAGATTGGCAGTCGTGACTAGATATGCCGTGTTTTTAATTATCGATTGTAGTGTGACGATAGTGCAGGGAGCCGAACTGGATCATCGATCTATATATCGATAAGCGCAACTCATTTTGGCTAGCGAGGGAAGAACAATATTTTTTGTTTAAATATAAATCTATTATAAAATAAAAATATAGCTGGAATGGATAATATGCACATTTAAAACCAAACTTTAATTAAGCATTAATAATTAATAGCAAAAGAATATTTTTTTGATTATATATTAATTGTTATAATAAAATAAAATATTCAATAAAAATATAACTTAAATAAATTGTTTATATAAAGATATCAACGATAAAACAATAAGTTAACCAATAACTAATTATTTTTATTCATTTAATTTGCCTATCGATGTTTTCATGAAAAAATAAAAATATAACTTGAATGAACTAATTTCTAATACATTTTAAGTATATATCGATACACTTAATAAAAATAAACTACAATTTTTATTGATCATTTAATTAATTTTAAATAATATCGCTAAGCAGTTGTGCCCAGACGGCGACGCGTCGATAAATGTGCAGTGTACCTGTTCGTACCCATACACGCATGCTCATAAAAGGTCGTTCTTAATTTATCTGCGATTTGTCGATTTTGTCGCAGCAAAGTTAAGTGAAATAACGCTGACCACTGCAAAATTTTCGACGCGTTGCCGTCTGGGCACAATTGCGCCCAGAGATTACTATTTAATCACATTTTACAATATTATCACAAATCTACTAACGTTTATTTTAGTTCTTAATGGTTTTCTTTCTCAGAACTTTTCACTTTAATTTATTATATTTTTCATTTTTTTTTTTTACAGGTTTTCCCTAATCTGTTATCTATTTTACATTGGCCAATATTTCAGTTTTATTTTTTTAAGCCATTTAATATGAAACTTGAATTTTGAAAAACAATTCTTAGTTCTTGGACAATACTAAAAAATATATATATATATGTATATATATATATATATCTTTACAATCTGCACACTTTGGCTCATAGTTATATAAATAAAATATACTTATTTATATATATATTTATTATACTTATATATACATATTATTAAAATCAGTTATAAGTGTAGATCATCTCACCCTAACCTGGTTGTTCCAAGCTTTGCGATAACCATCTCGCTCCGACCAAACATAGACGACTCTGAATGCCAATGGCACAGTGCCCGGCTCGTGCTCTGGGCACATTCTCCTCGATGGTGCAGGGTGACATTCTCCCACGTCATCATATCTACACAAAAAGCTTATTATAATATACAATGTATATATATATATATACAGTATAGTAAATACCCAAATCAAGTACGGCGAGCGTATTTGAGCATTTCCATTCACGTTCTGTTGTCGCCTTCGAGTCATTTATCACCAGTGGTAAACATACATTTTAATTGCAATCATTGTCGAACCGTGCAAGGATCGTGAAAGTGGGGCTTGTCCTCGAGTTCTTGGTTTCTCCCACGGCATGGAATCTGTAAAAAAAAACCAAATGGAAAACAATTATAATAATTAATATATATATAATTCGTAATACAGAAATACCCGTATTCGTAATACAATCACTCATTCCGGAGTAGACGAGTAGGCTCAATTTGCCCGGATCTTTGCTCGTAAACGAAATACCCGTGTGCGATTCCCGGGGAGGCGGATTTTGCCATTGTGACTGTGCACGCCTCGCGTATCCAATATATACAAATCATTCAGATATCTAAAAGTAATTTAAATTTTAAAAATGAACACTATTAATATCGAATATTTAATTGAGAAATTGCTTACTCTCATTTTATATATATTTTTGCTTTAAATTCTAGTTTTTGACTTCTCAAAAGTGTTAGTAAAAATTTCATTCATTTAAATTTAAAAATATTAAATTTGATTTTGAATTAAATATATTTTTTATTTGCGATTTTGCTATGTCGAAAATTAAAGTTAACCAACGTAATTATGAAATTTTTTTTTTTTTTTGTATTTAAGATTTTTCTCTTTCGACTGAGGGATAGTCGAAATTAAGAATTTTAAAAATATTGAATATGAAAATGTATTTTTAATTTAATAAGCTTTATATTTTAATCGAAACGAACTACTAATAAATATATTTTTAGCACCAATTGAATATTGTTTTTGGTATTAAACAAACCACTAATAATATTAACATTTATTGCTACATACTAATAAATATAATTATTATTATTGCAAAGAAACCAAAGTAGAAAAAAGGCAACTTATTTACAACTACTAATATTAATTAATAATTGACACCTACTTGGGAATATTATTTTTTGGGATCATCCGATTCATTGCCCAGTCCGCCAAACAGGAATATTTTCTCGCCGACCATCGTGAAGCTGTGCCCCAACCGGGGGCAGGGTGTGACACCGTTATCCGGTGTCTCAGGGTACATTTTGCGCCATCCCCATTTGATTGCTTGCAACTCGTAAAGTTCATTTGGATATTTGCCATATTCAATCATGCCGCTAAAGACAAACATGCGGGTGCCTTCCACAACAAATCCATAAGCGGCACAACCATTTGGCACATCGCCCTTCAGCACGGGCACATACCATTGATTGGTGACTAAATTAATAATTGGAAATTGACAATTAGCAATTGAAATTATCAATTGTAGTGTGACTATAGTGCAGCTCCATGAACATCGACACCAAATTGTGCAGGGACAGTGCAGCTTCATAGCATAGCACGAAACACACTACAACGATATTCTCAACTACCGTTAGTGGCAAAGTATATCATGTCCCCTGCTTTGCATGACATACAATCAACGCACTCAAAATAAAAAAAAAAAACTCATTTAAAATCACATATCTAAATAAATACCTGTATTATAAACATGAAATTCATCGGCAATTCCCTCGTTGCCGCCAACAAAAACGACCATTAATTCCTTGATATTTATGGCACGATGACCGTGGCGGGGACGCGGCTGCGGCCGCGTTGGATTTAAAATGCGTTTCCAACGAAAACCAAGTTGATTATTGGCCAACATATTATTATTAGGATTATCAATTTGGTAGGTGGCATCCATTTCCATTTTCAATTCAGCAGATTATTCGTTTTTAATATATTTGTTTACAATTCAAGTTCATCTTTTTGCTTGCCAAAACTGTAAAAAAAAAATTAGTCAAGTTAAAATTAAAAATTTAAATGAATACGAATAAACTATTATTGAGCACTGTGATTGCTGCGTTGATGCTAACAATTTATGTTGACCTAGCAATGTCGTCAAATGGACGCCGACGCTCATCAAAAATCGGTATCAAAATTTTGGTGCCATTTTATCACACAATTTTTTAAAATGCGAATTATTGTTGTTTTTCCTTCTCGCTTACCAAATTATCAATTGCACTTTATTGAAATTGAAATGTAAGTCAGTAATAAATGGAAATGCGACACACTCCAAAATTCGTGCACACATACAATGCGCAAAAAAAAAAGCCGAAGAAAACGACAACGACATGCCGCCAAAGACAAACATGCGGGTGCCTTCCACAACAAATCCATAAGCGGCACAACCATTTGGCACATCGCGCTTCAACACGGGCACATACCATTGATTGGTGACTAAATTAATTATTGGAAATTGACAATTAGCAATTGAAATTATCAATTGTAGCGTGCTGACTCAGATTGGCAGTCGTGACTAGATATGCCGTGTTTTTAATTATCGATTGTAGTGTGACGATAGTGCAGGGAGCCGAACTGGATCATCGATCTATATATCGATAAGCGCAACTCATTTTGGCTAGCGAGGGAAGAACAATATTTTTTGTTTAAATATAAATCTATTATAAAATAAAAATATAGCTGGAATGGATAATATGCACATTTAAAACCAAACTTTAATTAAGCATTAATAATTAATAGCAAAAGAATATTTTTTTGATTATATATTAATTGTTATAATAAAATAAAATATTCAATAAAAATATAACTTAAATAAATTGTTTATATAAAGATATCAACGATAAAACAATAAGTTAACCAATAACTAATTATTTTTATTCATTTAATTTGCCTATCGATGTTTTCATGAAAAAATAAAAATATAACTTGAATGAACTAATTTCTAATACATTTTAAGTATATATCGATACACATAATAAAAATAAACTACAATTTTTATTGATCATTTTAATTAATTTTAAATAATATCGCTAAGCAGTTGTGCCCAGACGGCGACGCGTCGATAAATGTGCAGTGTACCTGTTCGTACCCTTACACGCATGCTCATAAAAGGCCGTTCTTAATTTATCTGCGATGTTGTCGCAGCAAAGTTAAGTGAAATAACGCTGACCACTGCAAAATTTTCGTCGCGTTGTCGTCTGGGCACAATTGCGCCCAGAGATTACTATTTAATCACATTTTACAATATTATCACAAATCTACTAACGTTTATTTTAGTTCTTAATGGTTTTCTTTCTCAGAACTTTTCACTTTAATTTATTATATTTTTCATTTTTTTTTTTTAGGTTTTCCCAAATCTGTTATCTATTTTACATTGGCCAATATTTCAGTTTTATTTTTTTAAGCCATTTAATATGAAACTTGAATTTTGAAAAACAATTCTTAGTTCTTGGACAATACTAAAAAAAAATATATATATATATATATATATATATATATATATATATATATCTTTACAATCTGCACACCTTGGCTTATAGTTATATAAATAAAATATACTTATTTATATATATATTTATTATACTTATATATACATATTATTAAAATCAGTTATAAGTGTAGATCATCTCACCCTAACCTGGTTGTTCCAAGCTTTGCGATAACCATCTCGCTCCGACCAAACATAGACGACTCTGAATGCCAATGGCACAGTGCCCGGCTCGTGCTCTGGGCACATTCTCCTCGATGGTGCAGGGTGACATTCTCCCACGTCATCATATCTACACAAAAAGCTTATTATAATATACAATGTATATATATA